AAGATGCATAATTTATGTTTATTTCTTAATATTTTATGGTGGTTGCGAGATCGTTCAAATTTTCCGGACCCAAACAGAAATTCATTACTGTAGACAGTATATAAAATATAAAATTTTCTCTTAGGAAACGTTTGGTAACTATTTGGACATTATAAAATTTCGCATATGAAAGTTCGAAATTTTCTGATGCACAAAAGTATTTTTAATGTTAAGATGAAAATTACTTTGCCTGATGTGCAAAAATTGCCCGCCCAATTTGTATATAAGAGCAATGTTATTATCTTCTCCTATTACTCGCGTTTTTGTGAGAAAATAACAAAAAGGAAAACCACTACTCAGGAGAATTACTTCTGTATTTCATAATAGTTTCGCTTACCGTCGCTAGATAGCAGCACATAATGTTTTTTTTTGTGTGTGTTAACTACGACAGTTTGGGACTTTTCACTTCACAACAATGATATCTGACAAAACAATTTCGCTAAAAATAAGGAAATAAATAAAGAATTAATTGAATTAATATTTAATGTATCAAGCACCCGAAGTATCTTTGCAAGTGAACGATCTGTATACATATTATTGATGTTTCAGTTTAATAACACCATTTTCATAATCATCAAATCAATACATTATATAGCGGTCTTCTTTCTTTCAAATCTTCAGTGGGGCCGAGCCTGGAGCTGTATGTGTATGCGTGGTATCATATATCATGGCCTGGGATCCATATGATGTCCTCCCCATTAATCCTCTGACCCTGGCATGGGGTTATGATTGTGTGCACATACAGTAACCCGGGGTGAAGTTGGAAAGCGTTGGGTTCTGGAAATCTCCCCAAACGTAGGTCCAGTGCTCCGGGGTACTTGTACCGTCCAGGAGGAACCGTTTCAGCTTCGCTGGCCTCCAAATTAATCCAAAAATAGATTATGTTTACTTTCAGCTGTGATATCTATGTCAGGAAAATTAAGAAAAATACTTGGAAGTTCAATTATCTCTCAATAGATGGAGAAAAATTAAGAAAAATACTTGGAAGTTCAATTATCTCTCAATAGGTGGAGAAAAAATAAAGAAAAAATACTTGGAAGTTTAGTTATCTCTCAATAGATAGAGAAAAAATACTTGGAAGTTCAGTTATCTCTCAATAGATGGAGAAAAAATACTTGGAAGTTCAGTTATCTCTCAATAGATGGAGAAAATAATACTTGGAAGTTCAGTTATCTCTCAATAGATGGAGAAAAA